GTTATGCATGGACCAATAACTCAGACAGACAATAGGCCATGACCAGTGTTGACGTGGGGTTTTTAAATTCGTTTAGGTTTTATATCTTGTGGATTTGGTAAGATATCAAATGTAGCATCACTAACTTTAACAATTTGTAAAAAATGGTTAGAGTTTGACGGTCTAACCACCGCGAATCGCTATGTGTTAATGACCAATTGTGTGTAACTTTATATTTATAATGCATATTAAATATATTATATTTATAATTTCTTTTAGAAACCGTCTATCGTTGAATATCGAATCAAAAGTCAACAAAAATTAAATTTATTGGTGACGTTAAAAATAATTTTTGTATTAAGTATATTTAAGAGTTATGGATAAGAAATGTGAATAGATTATGTTCTCCTAATTTCTATGGATATAAAGAACATCGAAAATGGATATAGTATGAAGAAGTTACACATTTTTAAAGTTACAAAAATTAGTATTTATCTTATTTTCCTAAATCAAACTGTTCACTGCTTCGTTTTGAATAGCCCCGAATCTCGTAAAATATTTTGAGCACGTTTTCGAAATCAACACTTATGATTTTCATCCGAGTTTATCTTAGACTGTGACAATCGTCAATCTTGAGTCAAGTCAATTCATCAGGTCAAGCCGGTCAACTTGATTAAACCTTGTGTATTAGGGTTTGTGTTATGTTCGTACTGTATAACTTGCTATATTAATGGGAAAACATCACTTGAGAAAAGTCTTGTGTTAAAAATTTCCTAAGCCCTAGTGCTAATCAATGAACTAAACTGATAAAAACCATGTTGCATACTCATTGGGAGTGTGTGGGATCCTTAACCATGAATTAACGGGGCTCAAGAGACTTACATTGCAGAGCCAAACACTCACAAATGCCACACTTGAAATCTCTCTCAAATATCTCTCTGTATGAGAAATCTCTCCAAGAATGTCAAATCTCTCCCAAATCTCTCCAAGTATGTGAAATCTCTCTCAAATATCTCTTTGTATGAGAAATCTCTCCAAGAATGTCAAATCTCTCCAATTATGCGAAATCTCTCTCAAATATCTCTTTGTATGAGAAATCTCTCCAAGAATGTCAAATCTCTCCCAAATCTCTCCAAGTATGAGAAATCTCTCCCAAATCTCCCTCAAATAGTTCCCGTAATTTTTTAGAATCATTCGGGTCATTCCGGCCCTTAACCGGGTCAAAAACGGCTTAAAACGGGGCGAAAACGAGAAAAATAGGCTTTAGGAACCGAAACCAAGAAGAGAGGCTTCTTAGGCGAGGACCGAGCCTCTGTTGGCTGTGGCATGCGAGGACCGAGCCTCTGTTGGCTAAAGAATGCGAGGACCGAGCCTCGGTTCTCTGTCGCCTCATCTGCTCCCTTCTTCTCGCTCTGTCTCTACCCGCCTCTGTGTCTCTTCCCTACTCTCGGTCTCTACTCCGCCCCTTTGTCTCTTCGTGCCCTCTGTTCTCTCCCCCCTCTCTCGGTTCCTTCCCTCTCTCTTCTCCCCTCTCGGTTTCTACCCTCCCTCCTCTCGGTTTCAGCATCAGAAGGCCGAACCTCGGCCAGACTTCGGGAATTTGTCACTTTTAGCCCATTTTTTTATATTTTTAACATTTTAAGCCCGTTTTTCGTGATTTTAAAGCGGGATTTTCTCCAGAAATTATATTTTAACATAATAAACTCTAAATATTCATAATTTAAACATATTTTTATGAAAATCATTATCTAAATAATAAAGATCTAATGGGGGATTTATTTAAGGTGGAGTGTTGACTTTGCCTTAACTTATGACACAAGCAACCACCCCACACCCACTCTATGACCAGCCATACCTCCCCACCTTACCTATGTCACTTCAATGTCCCCTTACACTCAAATTTCACTCACTCCCACGTTTTTTTTTGAGCTGAAACAAACAACCACACTCCTCATTTTCTCTCATTTCTCTCATTCCACTAAGTAACAAACACCACTTTTCTCTCAAACTTTTTCTACACAAATTTTCGAGATTCAAGGCTGATTTCAAGTGTTCTTCCACTCTTAGTAAGTAAAAATTCATCCTCCCTATTATTATTTCACTTCCTTCTACTCAAATCTTGATTGCTTACACAAACTCCATAACCATAATGTTAGATTCTCGAAAACCTTCAAGGCATCTCCAAGTGTTCTTGAATTAAACACTTCCATTCTTCAACAATCATCTACTGAAATCACTTAAGGTGAGTTCATACCCCTACATTTTCATGTTTTCTCAAGTTTTCAGGGGGAATACAAGTTAAAACACCAAGAACATAACTAAATTTTCTAACAGCCTTCATCAGAAAAGTTCAACTCCATTCACGGACTGTTTTGGGCATCTTAAACATTTTTGTTTTCAAAACTGTACAAGGTGCAAATAGTTCAGTTTGTAGCTTTAAAATGACTACTTGCACATCTCCATACGATTTTTCTACAATTTATGGTGATTTTTACAAAACTGCCTATCATTTCAAACAACAATCCGGACCAGTCTGTGATTATGGACTTTTTCACACAAGTTGAAGGTCATTAAAAATCGTGATAAAAATTATGAGTAAACTAGACACATTTTGTGAACTCTCAGAATTTACGGATCTAGTTTTCGACTTCGTATGATTTTTCTATGATTTTTCCAAAACAGGGCAGAATGGCTAAAGTTAGCCAACAGCATGTAAATATCATAACACTTTGTATTATGTTGAGCAAAGTGTATAATCATAAGTTCTAATATTTGAATGTGTTTCCTTGTTAGTTTATCATTATGAACTGAAACTAAGTCATTCATACTAAATATTATTCATTCATTTTAGAACACGTATTATTTAACTATAAAAAGTATAGTTTGATAAATTCACAACACTAATACATTTCCATAAAAGAATTCATACATATTACATACATTTTAGATAAACTATAATAGGTATAGTTTATGATACATCACTCAACACACTCGTACAAAAAGGGTACATTCATACAAGAAAGATTTATATTCACACACATTTCACGTAAACTTGTTAACCTATGTTGTGAGACTCTCTCTCTCCCCGTACGTCCGAGTGCGGGATATAATTCCTGGTAGTTATAATCAGAATCTCCTTGAGGGAGAACGTGATACTTGTATATAGATCTATATTGGGTTTGACACCCCACACCTTGCTGCTAGCTACAGTGGGACCTGCAGGTCTACGGGTGACAAATGTCATTTCATTTTCGCGACGCCTGAGAAACGTTGTGGCAGGTTCACATAGTCACAGTATGATTATAGCGACTCACCTAGGGAGTTAACAATTCATAAAGTTTACGGGATTTCATAAAACCGAAGTAGGTTTTAGGTTGATTAAAAATTTACTTTCCATATCATTTTAAACTCACGACATTTCTACTAAGTAATGATGATTTCTTATACATTTTGGTCTTTGGTTATAAGGCTACATTTTACGGATTTCAAGGAAAATATCGGATTTTTCTGAAACAAACGCGACATTTACATGTGAAAGACTTCTACTAAGTTTTTAATAAAAAGCTTATGAACTCACCAACCTTTTGTGTTGACACTTTTCAAAACAACTTGTATT